CAAACAGGCCAAGCGGGTAAAGCCTCTGTGGTACGGTGGAAGATGGTCCAAGTACAGGTATGGGGAAGCCTGGCAAATTGACTACATCACCCTTCCCCAAACCCGCCAAGGCAAGCGCTACGTGTTGACCATGGTAGAAGCAACCACTGGATGGCTGGAGACATACCCTGTGCCTCATGCTACTGCCCGGAACACCATCTTGGGCCTAGAAAAGCAAGTCCTTTGGAGACATGGCACCCCTGAGAGAATCGAGTCAGACAACGAGACGCATTTCAAGAACAGCCTCGTAAGTACTTGAGCCAGAGAACATGGAATTGAATGGATCTATCATATCCCTTATCATGCACCAGCTGCTGGGAAAGTTGAACGGTGCAATGGACTACTCAAGACTACCCTAAAAGCACTTGGTGAAGGAACCTTCAAAAATTGGGAAGTGAACTTAGCAAAGGCCACCTGGATGGTTAACACCAGAGGATCCATCAATCGAGCTGGTCCTGCCCAGTCTGAACCCTTGCACACGGTGGATGGAGATAAAGTCCCTGTGGTACACATGAGAGGTATGTTAGGAAAGACTGTTTGGATTAATCCCACCTCAGGCAAGAGCAAACCTATCCGTGGGATTGTCTTCGCTCAAGGACCTGGTTGCACTTGGTGGGTAATGCGGAAAGATGAGGAAACCCGATGTGTGCCACAAGGAGACCTCATTTTAAGTGAGAACTGTGTGTAAGGTTCCATTGTATATATATATATATATGTGTGTGTGTGTGTGTGGAGTTTAAGGAAGGTACTGATTTGGAATTATGTAGATGGTAATAGAATAAGGGGTGGATTATGTCCTGGGTTGCAGTATATTCTATCACCATCCTCATGTACTGTTGAAACCAGGTGAGGCAGTGCTCCCTGCCTCCCCCCCCCCACCCCGGGCTACCTTCTGTTAATGGGCCCATCAATGCCCTGCCCCATGACTCATAGATAACTTCCCCCTGTATTGTCCCCTGTTAATGGGCCCACCACTGCCTTGCTGCATGACTCAGAGATAACTTCCTCCTGGACTGTTTTCTGTTAATGGCTCATCAAGGCCTTATCTCATGACTCACCATCCCATTGTGAGATGCTCCTCCCCGAGGGAGGAGCCAAGCATTCCATACTGGATATAAGCTGAGAATTCGAACACCACAGCAGCCCTTACCTACGGGACTTCCAGAGGACAGGAGCTACTGCTGGACTTTCAGCTGAAGACCAGACCCCCTTTCTTCCAGAGGATCACGCTTCAACAAGACCACCTCATCTGGACGACTACCATCACCCTAACAGGGTTCCAGGCTGTATTCTGACTCTGTCAGTGTTTTTGATATTATTGCATTTATTCTTTTTATCATTTTCCTATTAAATTATAATTCTGACTTGCGATCTCTCACTGGTTTGATTTCAAACTAGTACAGTGAGCACGTAGCGCTTGCTTTGGCGGGTTTGGGGCAGTGTGATGTAGTCAATCTGCCAGG